TGTCGTTGGGGCGTCCGGTCTTGTCTGGAGCACGATCAGCATGCCGCCGTGCGTCTAGCCACTGTTGGTCGTTGTCGGCGCAACCGATATCATTGGCATTCCAGACAACGAAAGCATTGAGGCCTCTGCAATAGTGCCGTTGCTTTATATATGCAGGGAACGCCGTACTCCAATAATCTCAAATCTGCTCATTTATGTTGCGCCACTGCGCCACAGAAGCATTATCATTACAGTACAGTAAGGTTCGCGCCTGACGAATGGTACCGATCATCATGCGCTGTTCGACCGTGGCATAGGTCTGCAACTGGAGAATTTGTGCGATACGCTCTTCCTGCACGGCCGCAGCACGTGCACGTAGGGTTTGCATATCGCAGCGGGTGTCGCCACCGGCTTCTGGCAATATGATCAAGTCCTGGCCGACGGGTGTGTCGTTCTGCTTGAAGAGTTCCTGGTAGTCTTCGTGCGAGAACGCCCACATCATGATGTCGTCGCGGATCAAAGTTGCTAAATGCTCGAGCGTGGCGCCGCCCATGTGCTCTGCCTTGTTGAGACATGGGATAAAGAACGGGACAAGGCCGACGTTGGAAGCTTGCGCGAGCTCACCGCGTCGGGTCGGGCTGTTGAGCTCATCGATGCCGTACCCTGGGTGGCGCTTGAAATCCTTGGCCTTGTCGCCCTTCTTCTTGTGCATGATCCATGTGGAATCCGTGTAGATATTAGTCCATGTGTGCGCATGGCCTGCAGGTCCAACAGCGTGAACGAGGAACATTCCCAAGTCCTCGTGTACCACGCCCATCCAGCCCCTTTCTGAGAGAAGGGCATTGACCAATCGACCACCACAGAAGGTACTGTATTTCGCCTGGGGTAACTCCAGCGGATCCAACCTGGATCCGGGAGTAGCGCCAGGCTCGCCTCTTCCCGGGAGCTCGGACGGGCGAAGGCCGCCCTCTTCATGGGGCTGCCATAGCTGCATTCCGAAGTGCGGGAGAAGCTCCCAGCCGCCAGGGTGATCAGAAGGTGTTGCCACCGTCTGGGGATTCGAAAACCTATCCCTCCCAAACCGCCGCGATTCGTCAGCCAAGCGATGAGCTTTCGGGCGTATTTCTTGGTTTGCTGGAGGTCGTGAAAGGCTCGCCTGTCGGCGACAAGATGGTCCTCCACAGCGTGGCCAATGTGCCCCGCCACATCGGACGTCCTGGCCAAGGCAGGAGGCCGCACTGGTAACTTCACTTGCTCTCGGTCGAGAGGGCGTGCGTGATTCGGAGTCATTAATCCTTCCTGCTAGAGGCCTGGCGGCATGTAGTAGTCGCCCACATAGAGATCTCTCGTATCCTTGACCGTGTCCTCCGACCACTGGCCGAGCATAGCGCAACCGACGTTCGACCATTCAGTGTGCAAGAGCCGCCACTCGGCATCAAGCATGCTGGTCGCGAGGCCCATCGGAGGGCACCGTCGAGAACCACCCTGACCAAGGATCGCGGCGTTCAGGTGGTCAGGCAAGTTGCGGGTTGCCTCCTGCACGACCGTGTTCCGCGTGAACAAACCTGACAGCGTACACATGGCTTTCAGCATCGAAAGCCATGGAGTCGCCGTAGCCGTGTACTCACAGTAGGCGTTGCTGGCGACGGGCTCCATGATGTTGAAGACCACCCCAGTCACGTCCAGCGTGGCGGAGCGGGTGGTCTCGACGAGCGCGGAGTCATCTGGCGCGCGCAAGTGCGGCGCTGATGCAGGAAGTGGTGTCCGTCGTCGCCCTCACGATTACGGCCTGTCTGAAGCAGGAACGCGGGGCCCACGCGATCATCATCATCGGCCTCGGGGCCCCAGCGGACGTCGCCGCCGACGGCCCAGCCGACAAGGTGGAGGGGCGGGACCTCGGGCATCTCAGATGGGGGAAAGTCGGGGGCGGGACCGCCCCCCTTGACTGTAGGAGCGCGCGGTGCGAGCAAAATGCTGGTAAGCGTAGTTGCTCGAGTCGTAAAACAGCTGCGGGAGCAACGTGATCGTATAACAAGCGTCCTAGAGTGAATGGAACCAAGGGTGGACGAGGAGGACTGACTGGAGCGTCTACCGCGCGGCGAACGGGCCCGCGGCGAGAGGGAGCCAGCCCCGGCAGGGACGCCGATATGGTACACGCGCGCATGTAGTCCCTCGTGCTCCTTTGGCCCCACGCACTGTTGTCCGCATCGTGTACCTGGCGCGCCCCAGTGCTCACGATCAGTGAGCAGTATCTCACAACCCTCGTCACATCCATCAACCTTCGGAGGTTCGGCAATGTGCGGTAGACCGTCTGGCCTCCTGGGCCCTCTCAACGGTCTCCAAGGGTTCTTCGGGGGCACTGCATGGGAGTGAAGGGGAAGATGGGCGATATATTCCAATGGATCCCTCCAGAGATCTGCTTTCTTAGGCTCAAAATGTTTGGTCATCATGTCGGCAATCTGTTCTTTAGTACCCGCATACTTAAGCTCGACATGTTCATATTGGCATGTTTCGCATATCCAATCCAAGTTGACACGGTGTGTGCGATGAAGATGGCGAAGTGCTGGTGTACGTCCTTTTTGGACAATCTTGATCACGGCCTGTTTGTCCTTCAGGACGATAAGGTGCACGTTAGGTGAGCTTCTCGTAGGAGCCGGCTCTGGGTCCACGTGTAGCAGAGTACCTTCGTGGGAAATCGTACGCCTCTTGGGAGTCGCAAGTGTCTCCGACTGCAGCGGGAGCTGCGTCCGGCTAGGAGAAGATCCTCTTGTAGGGGACGCCTTGCGAGGCGGTGTCTTACGCCGCCGCTTTTTGGCGGCCAGGGTTGAACATATCGTCGTACCGACACGTCCCAATCAACCTAGGCAATTGGTCTTCTCCTTGCAGGTTCTAGCAACCTCCACCACGGCCCCCCAGAAGGAAAACAGTGGAAGTCCCTCAAGTCGTAGTGCAGAGTCAAGAGCGACGATCTCGGACTCCGTGGATGAGTGGGGGACGACCGTCTGTTTCTTGCACGCGGCTTTGACGGGGAAGAATGCGTTTGGTCCAACGAGCGCCGCGAAGACGCCTGTGGTGGACTTAGATGACGAAATGCAGTCAGCAAAGGAGGCATCGGTGAAGAGCATGATGGACAACTGGTCCTGAGCGTCACCGATCCATCCATGTAGACAATGTGTACGAGTCGTCTTGAGGTAGCAGATGAGCCGATGAAGGCGTTTGTCACACGTAGTACTCCACTTATTAATCTCTCTGGCTAGCATGCACACTGGGTGCAGTTGATCAAAACGACAACATCGTGCCAGATAGAGAATCTTCATCAACACGCTCGCCGCGTCCTGGCCGACGATGCCCTCGTCAGAGTAGTCGGACTTGGTAAAGGAAGTGTCCTCGATGCCAGGTATCTCCGCGGCGGGAAGGTCGTCGTAAGTGACTGTCGTAGTATGCGACATATCAGTAGGTCTCTCGACCGACCCAGCTGGGCTGGACGATCGGGACCGAGCGCTGAGCACGCCAGTGGGTCCCGCGACCGACCCAGAGGAACCTTGGAGGCGCACTCAAGGTAGCGCTCTATATACATTGATCGGTAAAGCCAAGCATGTCAAGTCGTATACCACAAACCTGCTTAGCTGTATGAAAATATTTCTCGCTGTGGTTGGGTAACATTGGGCGAATGGTAGCCATCCGCTTGTCGAAGACGGTCTGCGGAACGTCATAAGCCTGTTGTCCACAGCCAAGGTATTGAGAGCACGGAGTAGGCGGATCGAGCTCAATGCCGCTCCAGCGGATCAGATCCCAGCCGGCGTGGAGGTTGGCGGCGGGTCCCGCAAGCTTGAAGTCGCCCACGTATACGGAGAGTATCAGGCCCAGTTTCTCGTGTCTCCACACGCATTCCCAACCAGGGATGGGCTCGAAACCAACGCTCTCCAGGCACGCGCGACACTTGTGTTCCCAAAACACACCTGCCAAGGGGTGTCCGTAGAGTGTCAAGCGGAGTCGGCACACAGGGTTACTGTGCTCAGCCCAGGAGTCGGGCTGACGCCGCTTGGGGAGCGTAATCCTCGTGTCGACCGGGTCAATCTGGCCGTCTCCGTACAGTAAGGCCTGAGTGTACGCGCCTGGCGCGTCACTCTGTTCGCCTCCGTAATTTGGCAATAATGCGGTGGCGTCACACAGCTTAGAAACCTCCATGTGTGACGCACTGGACGCCGCGTCAGCGAAAATGGCAGCTCAGCCAGTCTCGTCTTTGCCAGTGTTGCCCTACACCACCACGCGGCCCTTGAACTTGCGTAGTTCCGGAGGAAGTTCTTCATGTTTCACATATGAGAGCTCCAAGATGTTGAAGACATGAACTTGCTTGGACCGCGCAGTGCCTCTCGCACCTTTAGGCAAAGAGATAGGAAACAAGAAAGACAGGGAGGGGCAGGAGCAAGACGATATGATCATTTTTCCAGAGCGGCGAGCTGCGCCCACCGAACAGGTGCTTTGAAGACAAGTGCCAGCAGCTTCACCGCACCCTGCGTCTTTGCCAACCCCAAGGGCAGGGAGGGTGGGCGCCAGAACTCCTTTGAGCTGCAGGTGGCCGCGGAGAGCATGGGCCTCCGCTCTGAGAGGCTCCTCGAGGCCACGCAAGAACGTTTAGAAACCAAGCATGCTTGGCCCGTCCAGTGCCTCTCACACATTTAGGCAAAGAGATAGGAAACAAGAAGGACAGGGAGGGACAGGAGCAAGACGAGATGATCACTTCTCCAGAGCGGCGGGCTGCGCCCACCGAACAGGTGCTTTGAAGACTAGTGCCAGCAGCTGCACCGCACCCTGTGTCTTTGCCAACCCCATAACAACAAGCACCCATATTTGGTGACATGGCAGGCCTGTCGTGGGTGGGTCGGGAGGGGCGAAGCGCGACTGCCTGCGCTAAAAATCTAAAAAGAATATGACAAGCTTGAGGGCTCGATTAGGTTGGGCGCTCGAACTTGCGCAACGCAGCTCGCAGTTTGCTCGGGAGAGAGGGCCCCAGACAGAGGCTACGCGCCAGGAAAGACTGCAAACTTAGATCTTACTCGCAGCAGGGTGCCCGCCTTCTCGTGCCGACGGACGGACTCCCGAGCTTTCCAGCGGCCTCGGCGCTGGTTCGAGCGAAGATCCTCGAACTTCTCAAGTGCGTCCCGGCTGGCACCTCCATGCCGCAGGCAATGTGGCGTGAAGGTCACGGGCAACTGCAAACGTCGGCAGGTCGTCTTCGCGACCGCCTCGAGCCTGGCAAGCGTGAGACCGCCGAAAAACTTATCTTGGCCTGCGCGGGACATCAAGATGCTCAGGATGTCGCCCACGAAGGCCTGGCCCTTGGCGACGCTGCCGAGGAAGACGGTGTCGTCGAAGGTGTTGGTCTTGGACGGGATGGGCTGCGTCGCCGGCGCCCCCCTTGAGGGCCTGCTTGGCCCGTGGTAAGGCGCCGCCCTTGGTGGCCCAGCCGCGCTGCCGGGCGAGTCCGTGGAGGCAACAGCGGGCATTGGCCTTGGCCTCGCCGCCGAGTAAGAGCGACTCGAAGGAGCGCTCCAGGGTGGCGTCCGCGGCGTGCGGATCCGAGAGGCTCCCGCCGTTGTCCCCGACGAACTGGTCGAGCTCCTGCACGCAGCTCGAGTTGCGGGCAGCTGTCGCCGACCGCGCGGTGGAGCGCCGCAGGAAGCCTGGCGCATGCTCCAGCGGCTCGGCCCGCGCCTGCCCGCCGCGGCGCCCCGCCCTAGTCCCAGCGCCTCTCGCCAGGGCAGCCGGTACCTGAGCGGGCAGCGCGGGGGGCCGACTCCAGCGGCACTGCAGCCGCACGCGGCTGCCAGCTGGCGCTCCCGGCGGCGCTCGAGCTCGGCCTCTCCGTCGGGCCGGGCGGCCGCCGCGGGCGCCAGGTGCTGGGCGACGCCGGCATAGGCGCGGCACAAGCCCGGCGGATACGCGGCAGCCAGGCTCGTCTTCCACTCCCAGCGGCCTCTCACGAACACCTTCCCCTGCAGCACCTCGCAGTGGCGTCGGCACTTGCACTCGCGGTGCAGCGTGGTGAACAGAGGGTGGGGCGCGGCAAACCTGGTCGGGTTCTGGAAGGGCGTCCCGAAGCGGCGCTGGCACAGGTCGACGAGGGTCGCCCCAGCTGACCTGAGTGCTCTCGCCAAGGGCCTCCGCGTCCAGAGACGCGACCGCTGAGGGTTCTCGAGCGTGAAGTGGACTCCTGCCCGCCGGCACTCCTGGATCTGGCGCACCGTGAATCGCGCCGCGGCCGAGCCCCCCGCGGGTTCTGCAGTGCCAGAGGACCGCGCAACAGACCACCGTGTGCACGGGGTCGCGAGGCGCATGAGCCAAACGGCGCCGGAACGGATCCACCTGATGATGACCTTCTGGACCTTCGGGTCCGTGGTGTCGAAGTGCGAGCCCTTCTGGAGGTCCATGGGGATCCCCACGCGGAGCCCCGCCTCCAGGACGGCCCCCGTCATGTACCCCTCGCCCGAGAAGATCTCCAAGAAGAAACGTCGGCCCCGACGAGGCCTCTGACCCACTGGACCTCCAGGATGTACGAGAGCAGGAAGGGGGTCCAGGCCTGGTGGTGGGCGGAACCCAAGACGAACTTGACCCTGATGTTGAGGATGACGGCCCTGGGGGTCGGTTCCACGTGTGCTGTCCATCTGGTCCCCACGGAGCCCTTGATGAGGCTGAGCAGGGACTAGTGGCCGAGCCTGTCTTGATCTCGACGAGGAGCTTCCTGGGGGCTCGGGCTCGGGCTGAGCTGGAGGACCCTTTTTTACAACGATGGTTGTGCCCCGAGCTGGGTGCCGATCCGGGAGACGGCCAGTCGGCAGCCGTCCCCGAGGCCCGCGCCAGACCTGGCCAGGCTGCAGCAGACCGCGGTCCGCGGCGCGGCTCATGTAGTCCGCTGCGTTCCGCGCGCCCTCGACGTGGCGCTGCCGCCGCACGATGCTGGTGGCCAGCTGCAACGCGGCCGCCCGCCGGCACTGGGCGAGGAGCTCCCTGTTCGCCGCCCGGCCCTTCTCGAAGGCCAGGACGGAGCCCAAGTTGTCCCCGGCCGAGAGCAGCTCCGCGTCGTGGTACGGTGCGTAGCTGGCCGCCCGCGCCAGGCCCATCAGCCCGCAGCGCGCCTCGTTGTCGCGGATGCGGCTGGCGTCGCGCCAGGCGCCGGCTACGACCAGCCCCCAGCGCTTCGGGTCCACGAAGTCGTCGGGCAAGGGCGGCGGCCGCCACCCCGAGTCGACCTCGACCCGACTCCGCTCCGGCACTGGGCCGCGCGGCCTGGCTCTCTCGAGCAGGCCGTCCCACCAAACCCCGCCAGCGTCGCCGATCGCGAGCGAGCCCCGGAAGCCGTCGTGCTCCCGTTCCACGAACTTCTCTCGCCTGCTGAACCTGGCCCGCCCCCGGAAGCGGCTGAGATCGTGAACCTCGTCCGCCGAGATGTCGGTCTCCAGCAGCGCGTAGCTCTTCATGGAGGCGTCCGTCACGAACGCGACGGGGCAGGCTGGCAATCCCCAGCGGCCGGCGGCCATGAAGAGGATCGACTGGGCTATCCGCAGCTCCTGCAGCGCCGCCGTCGGCAGCTCGCGGACCTCTCCGAGGTCCTCCTGAACGAAGTCGTAGAGGACACGAAAGACTGAGAGCCCGGGCCTGAGCAGCTGGAAGAAAGACACCAAGTGGCCCAGGACCGCGCGCACCTGCCAGCCCGCGGCCTTCCCCCACTTCAGGAGGAAGGTCATGCCACTGCACAGCCGCCACAGCCGCTTCGGCTTGGGGCGAACCAGGCCCTGCACGCCGTCCACGATGACCCCCGGGATCTCCACCTCGACCCCCGCGCCCTGCTTCTCGTGCCACTTCAGCCCGAGCAGGTCGAGGGCCTTCGTCACGCGGTCGATCCGGGCCTGTGCGACCTCGCGCTCGAGCCCGATGACGTTGGCGTTGTCTACGTACGGGAAGTCGCCCACCATGCCGGGCCGCAAGCGTGCCGCTGGAACCTTGTCTAGCACCGTGGCGTCGCTCGGGCCCGCCGAAGTCTTCATCACATGTGCGAGCGTCTCGTGGCAGATCCAAAGAGCCCAGGACCAACCCATCGCCAGCCCGCCGTAGGCGGGCCACACGTAGTCCTCCGGGGCCACGCTGACGAAGGACCCGACGTCGCCGTCGTAGACCTGCTGCACGCCGAAGTCCATCGCGTGGACGCCGGGCATGTCGAACACGAACCGCTCGGACAGGTGCGGGATCTTGAACTGGTGGAAGCCGTCCTTCAAGTCGACCGTAGCCGCGTACAGGGCGGCCTCGTCCGAGCTCACCGTGCAGCGCTGCCGCCAGTCGGTCCCCACTTGCACTGCTGCGAGGGCCTCGACCGACGCCATGCTGGTCTGGGGGGGTAACCGATGAAACTGGTTGGGCTGCCGACCGTCTACGATCATGCGGAGACGGTCCCCCCTTCTTCTTGTCGAAAAATAGACCCACGGTCGCCTTCTTCCGACGGGAGGCAACTACGATCCCCATGTCGGCCAGGCGGCGGAGCAGCGCCAGCAGGCGTGGGCGATTGCCCGGACCCTCGGGTTCAGGAGGGGGTCCCAGTGCGGCTCGACATGGGGCTCGTCCGCCAATTCGTCGGAGTGACGCTCCAGGAACCAGCTCGGCTCCATCAAAACTTGTCGAACGGGATCGAGGACGAGGTCGAGCGCCTCCCGAGGCTCCACGGAGCCCAGCAAGAGGGGAACCTTGTCCTGGTCGAAGGGCCGGACGGTGAGCCGACCCTCCTCGGAGTAGATGTTGCTGGACTTGAGAAGCTCCTGGAAAGCCTCTCGCGGCCGGAAGTCCGCCGGCGGCTGGCCATGCCGAGCAACCGATCGAACCACACGGTCTAACACGGACTCCTGCGAGGGAGTCAGCGTGGAAGTCTGGCGCACCCGCCCAGGCTGGGGGGTGTGTGACGCTCGTGCGGAGGCCAGCGCGTTCAGGCTCGAGAAGATGTCCTCCGTCGCCCTCCGCGTCCAATCCCGCTTGGCACGTCGGCGAGCGGCCCGGCGGCCCGCCGGGCGCTCTCGGCTGGTCTCCTCGAAGAAGTTGGAGGGCAGCACCAGGGGGAAGGGGTCGGACGCCATGGCGACGACGAAACCTTCGCGACAAAACTGCGAGCAAAACATGTGTCCGCCGTGGAGCAGGTCCTTGGCCACCGAGAGTCCTGCCTCCGGGACGGAGGACGGACAGAGCGGGAACTCCCGCTCTGGGTCACTTCCCTCCTCCTCCGCGGTTGCCTCCGCCAGCTGTCCGCTTGGCTTCGGCATCCCGCTCCTCCGCGTGGATCCTCGTGTTCTTCATGATCGCCGCCTTCGTCTTCTGCTCCTGGGCCACCCGCTCGTCGAACATGCTGGTGACCACACCGCCCGTCTCGTCGAGCGCTGAGGCCAGCATGTCCTCCAGCCCGACGTAGTTCGGATGCTTCGGGTCGCGGCGGATGGCCCGCTGCATCTGAACGACTTTCCTGGCGATCAGCTCGGCCCCTGCGAGGTTCGTGACGTCGACCTGGCCGTGCTCGATGAAATGGCGCAGCGCCTCGAGCAGGAGCCGGATATCGTGGGCCGCCGCGCTGCCAGGAGGGATCCCACTGTTCGTGACGCAGTGCCCCACGTAGCCCGCGATCCCGAGACCCGGCGCCCGCACGCTGGCCAGGAACTCGGGCAGCGCCTTCGGCCCTCGAGAGACCCAGTCGTCGGTCTCCTGCGGGCGGTGGGCCTCCGTGGTCTGGTCGAGCGTGGCTCGACGCGGCCCGCCTGCTCCGATCCGTCGGACCGGGCGCGCCCGAGGATCCCGACCAGGCCCTGAGTGCTTCTCGTCGAGCCACTGCTGGTGCCGTTCCTCTGGCACATTCTCCCGCGCTGTGAAGATCTCCTCGCCATCGTCGTTGTCCAGCATCGCCAGCGCGGCCGCCCCCCCGGGCACGAAGCGGTCTGATCGCTGCGTCGAGGACCGCCCCGAGCTGCGGGCAGGCAGGGTCCGCGACCACCCAGCGAGGCGGGGCCCCTGCCGCTCCACGCGGCACGTCGATGCCCAGCACCGTCGCCAGGGCCGCCGCCTGTTCCCTGATGCCCTCGAGCTCCCCCTCCTCGAACGGGTCGAAGGCGCGCAGCTGCCCCGCCAGCCGCCGAGGGAACGGAGCGTTCCGCGGCAGAGAGACCACGCGGTGCGCCGTGAGGTCCCCGAACTGCACGCTGCGGTCGGGGGTCGCCCAGATCCACTTGCCGGCACCCGCCGGCACGAGGAGGGCCCGCACGTGGAAGTTGAACCCGTTCGGGTCGTCGAAGAAGTCCACGGCGACCTGGGGCTCCGGGATGTCTAGGCTTCGCGCCATCACGCGCGCCTGGCCCGCAGCGAAGCTGGTGTCGCTGCTGGCCTCCCGTCGTCGCCGTCGTCACCGGCAGCCCCCTGCAGCGCCAAGACCGGCGCGTCGTCCCCCACGGTCGGGCTGTCCCGCAGCCCCGGTGCCGTCGCCCTCGGCGGCCAGCACAGCCTCCAGACCGCCCCGGCCAGCGCCGCCGCCAGGACCCCGAACGCCGCGCCCGCGGCGAAGGCCCCGTACGCCGGCCCCGGCATGGGGCAGCGCAGCTCGGGACAGCCTGGGCAGACTGGGCAGGTCAACTGCTCCGGCCCACAGCGGTCGAGCTGCCTCCCCAGCAGTCCGACGATCTCGGAGGGCACGGAGCAGTCCGCCACGCAGTTGCACGTTGGGCAACGCGGCGGCAGCAGGTATGGCGCGAGCGGGGCCGCGGCGTGGACTAGGCCGAGGGCCCAGTCCATCCCCCTCGCCAGAACTTCTTTGAGCCGCAGGTGGCCGCGGAGAGCATGGGCCTCCGCTCGGAGAGGCTCCTCGAGGCCACGCAAGAACGTTTAGAAACCAAGCATTCTTTCCAGTGCGAATCGCCTCGGCCTCAACGTCCTCTTTTTCAGCGACGGTTTCTATCATCCATGTCCGTTTCTTCTCGAGGCGTTCGTATTCTTTGCGTAGGGCCTCTTGTGCTCGTGGCTCAGCAGCAACTTCACGTTTGTTCAGATTTCGTGTAACAAGGACAGGGCGTGCCCATGATGACGCAGGTAACTTTTCTCTGTGTATCTGCGTTCCAGCGGGTCAACGTGGCATAGTTCCCCACATTCTAAGTGGGGTTCTGATTTTCTCTCCACCCGCGTCACACCCGCGTTCACCTCACCTCCTCCTTCTCGCTCGTACACACACCACACCACACCACACCACATCGCACCACACCACACCACGCCACACCACACCACACACCACCACAGGGGGTGCGCAGGGGGTGGTCTCCGCTACCGCACACCGCTACCGTGCCGGTCGTCCAGGGCACAGCAGGCATGGCATATTCTCGACCCAGGGGGTGCGCAGGGGGTGGTCTCTCACCGCGGCCGCTATCCGTGCCGGTCGTCCAGGGCACAGCAGGCATGGCATATTCTCGACACCAGGGGGTGCGCAGGGGGTGGTCTCTCACCGCGGCCGCTATCCGTGCCGGTCGTCCAGGGCACAGCAGGCATGGCATATTCTCGACACCAGAGGGGGTGCGCAGGGGGTGGTCTCTCACCGCGGCCGCTATCCGTGACGGTCGTCCAGGGCACAGCAGGCATGGCATATTCTCGACACCATAGGGGGTGCGCAGGGGGTGGTCTCTCACCGCGGCCGCTATCCGTGACGGTCGTCCAGGGCACAGCAGGCATGGCATATTCTCGACACCATAGGGGGTGCGCAGGGGGTGGTCTCTCACCGCGGCCGCTATCCGTGCCGGTCGTCCAGGGCACAGCAGGCATGGCATATTCTCGACACCATAGGGGGTGCGCAGGGGGTGGTCTCTCACCGCGGCCGCTATCCGTGCCGGTCGTCCAGGGCACAGCAGGCATGGCATATTCTCGACACCATAGGGGGTGCGCAGGGGGTGGTCTCTCACCGCGGCCGCTATCCGTGCCGGTCGTCCACCAGGCATGGCATATTCTCGACACCAGAGGGGGTGCGCAGGGGTGGTCTCTCACCGCGGCCGCTATCCGTGAGGGCACAGCAGGCATGGCATATTCTCGACACCATAGGGGGTGCGCAGGGGGTGGTCTCTCACCGCGGCCGCTATCCGTGCCGGTCGTCCAGGGCACAGCAGGCATGGCATATTCAAGACACCATAGGGGGTGCGCCACCGCGGCCGCTATCCGTGCCGGTCGTCCAGGGCCAGCAGGCATGGCATATTCTCGACACCAGCGCAGGGGGTGGTCTCTCACCGCGGCCGCTATCCGTGCCGGTCGTCCAGGGCACAGCAGGCATGGCATATTCTCGACACCATAGGGGGTGCGCAGGGGGTGGTCTCTCACCGCGGCCGCTATCCGTGCCGGTCGTCCAGGGCACAGCAGGCATGGCATATTCTCGACACCATAGGGGGTGCGCAGGGGGTGGTCTCTCACCGCGGCCGCTATCCGTGACGGTCGTCCAGGGCACAGCAGGCATGGCATATTCTCGACACCATAGGGGGTGCGCAGGGGGTGGTCTCTCACCGCGGCCGCTATCCGTGACGGTCGTCCAGGGCACAGCAGGCATGGCATATTCTCGACACCATAGGGGGTGCGCAGGGGGTGGTCTCTCACCGCGGCCGCTATCCGTGACGGTCGTCCAGGGCACAGCAGGCATGGCATATTCTCGACACCAGAGGGGGTGCGCAGGGGGTGGTCTCTCACCGCGGCCGCTATCCGTGACGGTCGTCCAGGGCACAGCAGGCACGGCATATTCTCGACACCAGAGGGGGTGCGCAGGGGATGGTCCCCCATCATTTCGGGCTCGCAAAGTGTGGCAGGCGTTGATTTTCTCGACACCAAAAGGGGTGCGCAGGGGGTGGTGCCCTTATGCGGCGCGGGCTCGCAAAGTGTGGCGGGCGTTGCACCTTCTCGACACCGCAAGGGGGTGCGCAGGGGGTGGTCCCCCATATCCGCTTCGGGCTCGCAAATTGTGGCAGGCGTTGCACGTTCTCGACACCACAGTAGGGGGTGCGCCGGGGCTGGTCCCCCCCATCCGTTGCGGGCTCGCAAAGTGTGGCAGGCGTTGCAGATCCCCGACGCCACAGAGGCGAACGACAATGCCAGGAGGCTGTGCTTGGTGCAACATGATATGACCACGCAGGATCTGAAATAAGTATGTGGGGTTCCTCGGTAGCATAATGGTTATTGCTACCGACGGGGTGAACTTGCGGTTGAGCGGGTTCACACGCCCGAAGTCGTAGCCCCCACTGTCAAGCAATACCAGAGAACGTGCTACTCCGGCAGGCGATGCTGAGGGTTGGCGGTAGTATAATACTGTGGTAATGTCACGTGGCCCACCCGGAATTCTGGCATACAGGATCTCCTTGTTTGTCACGCCCTTGACGCCCTTGTCTCGAAATATCATAAGTAATACGGCGTTCCACAGTATTCCACGTAGGTCCACCGGCCATTGTAGTGCGAAAGATTTTAGCTTGCTGATCCTGTCGTGTCCATACACGAAGGGCAGCCCGCTGGCGCACCTCGCGGGCTCGTTTGATGTCTTCTGCGTAGTCGATCTCTCTCTTCTGTTGGCCTCGGGACAAAGTCTTCCAACGTTCGGGAAGGATGTGGTCTGGGCGCGTTGTAGCCTGAACGCGTGTCTCACGACCGCGGACCACCATCTTGCCGTCTGGCAGCATCTTGGGGAGGTCGTAGAACCGAACCAGGCCGGTCCACGGCTCACTAAGTCCCTCGAAGGTAGAAGTCGTTTCGAAATCCCTTGTGACATCTAACTGATCGACGGGGACAGGAAAGTTCATCACGTCATCCGTCGGTCTGAACAGCTTCTTTCGCGGGGTGCGGATGTGCCGGGTGATGCAGTAGCCACGCTGCTCCCAATAATCAGGCTCTGGCGCTGGCGCAGCGACTTCTGGAGCTGATGGATGGGCAGCAGCAGGACTGGCGTCCGGCGGTGTGAGAGAGGGGTCATCCCACTCTGTCGTGTAGGTGAGCGGTAGGTCAGGCAGAGGTCTGTCGCCCAGGGGACGAGACGTAGCTGCCTTGACCTCGTCGTGCGCCTCAGGATTGCGGTGTCGAAGGGTACCGTCCT